ATAAGTTTAATTTAGAAGCCCCAGCACAGGGCTAGAATTTAAAGGCATAGGAAGTCCTGGGGTCACTGCTCTGTACCCAGGCAGGGACAGACTTAAAGCTAGTCCAGAAAGGGCTGAGAACTGAGCCCAGAGAAAGGTTTGCAGACATTAGCAAGGGGACAGGGAGTTCATGCACATTGACTGGGTGTGACTTGGCCAGAGGGCTGAGCCACTGAAGACCCACCTGATGAGGGCAACAGCTGACAGGGGACACTGCCAAGAGAGAGCAGGTTTGAGTCCACCCAAAAGGGGGCACTCACGAGAGGTGAGTGGCCCCTGTCACACACCCACAAGTATTTTTTTCCCCTGATTTTTCATTTTGGGTTATTTTCAAGTATTTGTCACTTTTTTTTTAAGTTCCGCTAAATTCACTGTTTCAAAATGAAAAGTTGAAACATTCCATTTGGAACTGGCCAAACCGAATCCTTGCAACTTCTGGCTCAAACAAACAAGAAAAAACTCAAGAACTGTTCACCAAATTTGACCTGGATTTGCCACTTGTGTTCTGAAAAACTTCACCCAACTGCAGTGCAAAATGCATGTATCCTTATTACTAAGCAGGGGTTCAAGGGCGGGTGTGTGTATGTGGGGGGGGGAGAATACAGCTAAAAGCAGAGAGGGGCTCCCCCTTTTCTGCCTGGCTTGAGTTAGCAGCACTCACATAGCACCTCATCCTTCATTGCTGTCACAACGAGAGTTCTCATTCCTATTTCATTCCTGTTGCACTATCTCTAAGGCTGCTTAAGTTATTACACTGAGGACATGGAGAACTGAAATCTCCATTGCAGTGCATTAGTTTTGCTGGGAGTATGAAGGCGAAGGCAGGCTTAGTGGTACGTGCTGCTTTTCCCATATGCAAGTTCTGCAGCAGCGCTTGCAAGTCAGATAATTGCATTGATACCCAGCCAGTGATGGCCTGACTTGTATGCACAAGTGTCTGATTTCTGTGCACCGTTGTGGGAACCCTGTGTGCAAAATAGGCATGCAATTGCACACCTCGCTTTGTGTGCAGCCTTGGGCTCCCGTTCTTCTGAAAAATCAAGCTGTCAGTTTAGTTTGAGAAGCCTGGTGGTTCTTGGGCTTGGTCTACATGGAAAACTTGCACCGCCATACCTATGTCAGTCAGGCGTGAAGAAATCCAAACCCCTGACCAATATAGCTATCAGCTGAGATGGCAAAAAAAAGCCTTATATAAACTGATCTTACAGGAGTGTTGTCATTCTGAAGCCTTTGGGGCCAGATCCTCAGCTGGTGTAACTGGCTTATCCTTCCATGGCTCTACATCGATGTTCATGAGATGGAGATCAAGTCCCTGTGACTCCTCCATGGTCACCAGATACATAAAACATCTGCTGACTCAAGTTAATGAGTTTTGCGCATGTTATTCATACATTTGTAAGAGGGAAAGGAATGAGGAAATCAGCTGATGGTCATGTTGATTTCATTTTCTTTCTTAAAATAGGAGGTTATGTTGGTGGCTTTCATGCTGGTGAATGCTCTTGTGTAAAGCTGCAAAAGTCCATGAACAAACATTAAAAAATCAACTTCAGCTAGTACGTGCTATTCAGTAGCAGTGATAGCTTTCCCATTTGATTTCTGAGAAAGGTTCATATTTAAAAGCGGCGGCAGCTTGTTTACTAGAACTGTATCAAGGGGGGAGGGATAGCTCAGTGGTTTGAGCATTGGCCTGCTAAACCCAGGGTTGTGAGTTCAATCCTTGAGGGGGCCACTTAGGGATCTGGGGTAGAATCAGTACTTTGTCCTGCTAGTGAAGGCAGGGGATGGACTCAATGACCTTTCAGGGTCCCTTCCAGTTCTATGAGATAGGTATAGCTCCATATATTAAGATTTTTATTTATTTTTGGCTCCTGAATTCTCGTTCAAATGTCATTTTCATGTGATGCTGCCGTGTCTGACCTCTGTGTGGGCACGTTGCTGACAAAAATAACCTGAAAACCGCAATATTGAGGTCCCGCTAATAACTGTACAACCAGGGCTGACTGTTAGACCAACTCTGCTGCTGTCTCAGTTCAGCAGACCACTTGAGCATGTCGGCTGTTCCATTGACATCGATTCCAGTGAGTCTACTCCAGTTCTTAAAGTGAAGCCTTGTGCTTATATTCCTGGCTGAACTGGTGAAGTCAATGAGAGTTCTACTGATTTCAGTGGAATGAGAATCGGGCAAATGCTGAATGCTTAGTGTTCGGCTCTTGGGCTTAGTGGTACCTTCCTTCATAAGTGATCCCATTGATGTCCTTGGTGAGAGGGGCCACTTGGTAAATGGGGGTGGCAGAATCTGACCCTATGCCATTGAGACACGTTCACAGTCCTCTTCAGATGAGACTCCATGTTGTAAAATAAGGAGTGATCCTCTTCCTGCTGAAGTTAGTAGGGAGCATGGCCGTTTATTTGAATAGCAACAAAAGTAAGACCAGGATGTCAAACTTTTCATCCTCGTAGTGCAAGCAATTGGTCATAGATGCCCATTTTAAGCAAATCATTGCATTCTGCTTGAAATTATAGTTTCTATATAGTGAGAATTGACACTCCCCATTTGATCTTTTGCCCAGTGGGACTAAAAGTTGTGACTGTCTTGTCAACAAAATATTTCCTTACTTGTCTGAGCAGCATATGTGCTGTTGTGTTTGTGAAGGGACTGGAAACAGGCATGTAGATATTCAGTACAGTATGAATAGTTAGAATGTATTTTTTTCTTCTTCTTCTCATTAATGAATTCAGAACAGGAGCAAACCCATGCTTGAGAGGTCCTGGGATAATTGCAGCAAAAGCCCTTAGACAGGCTCTTGTTGGGATGCTAATTGTCATCTATTGACCTGCTGTTTGGATTCATTGGTGCAAAGCCACTCTCAAATCTGCTTACGTCATTTGCTGATAAATGCATTGCTCACTTCTGCCAGTTAACTAATTGTTCTTATTGGGCTCCCAACTGAGCTGGACGAGCTAGAAATATATTCCCAACTTCAAAGGAAAAGCATGTGCTCACCTCAGATATTGACTTCTCCTGAAAACTTCGGTTCTACACAAAATTCATTTGAATTTGGATTCAGCTCGTCTAAAGTCCTTTTCGGGTCCAAATCTGATTGATGTTAGTCCATCTGTTGCCCCCAAATGAATTGCTAGACTGAATTACTCTTCCTTTTGCCTGGCAGATGAAATACAGTAGCTAACTAGCTGTGTCAAGGAATTTCCAGCCTGGACTGTAGGAGACTATCTGAAATGGAGGTGACATGGGTAGAACTCATTTTGGGTGATGGCCTATATTGAGAGCATGGTTTCAGCAGATAGAACTTCTCATCCTGGCAGAATTTTGTACCTCTTTAGTGTCTTCCTCTTGCCTTAAATACCTGGGGAGGAGCAGGGAAGCATGTAAAGTACTGTTTCTTCCTACAAAGGAAGAAAACCGATTCCTTTGGATACCCAGAGTACTTTCTCAAGGAGAGAGCCCCACTCGGTGATAGAGAAATGTTTTATTAAGTGAATGAGAATCAAGGGTGATAATTAGGCCTGTTGTGGCAATCAGATTATTTTAGGTGTTGGCCTGCACCCTGTGGCTTGTACTGTGTATTGGGCTCTTGTTAACAACAACTAGAGATTTACACCTTCTGTCTTTCAGTGATCACATGCATGCAACGAAACCAGACTTGTCTTTTAAGTTATGGTGGAGACATTAGTGAATTCATGGTGACAATTATCAGAGGGGTAGCCGTGTTAGTCTGAATCTGTAAAAAGCAACAGAGGGTCCTGTGGCACCTTTGAGACTAACAGAAGTACTGGGAGCATAAGCTTTCGTGGGTAAGAACCTCACTTCTTCAGATGCAAGTGATCCTGGTTCGGGGTTCTCCGGAAAGCGATCTCTGTGGCCAGCTCCTGGGTGAGCCTGTTGACGCACGAGTCGAATTCCGCAAAGGAGGCAGCTGTCACATGGTGACAATATTAATGTTACGATGACCCTGTTAAATAAGTTGCAACCAAAATATGCTTGGCTTCCGTACAAAGCTGGGACCAAATCAGATGAGAGAGAGAAACAAGCCAACAAACCGGGAGAGGGGGAAGCTGTTCTGTGACAGTTGGGTGTAGTAGGTGTTTGTAGAGTGCTTACATCAGGACAAAGCTGGCACCCTCTCTGAGGGGCAGCAACACCCTTGTCCATGGACGTTCAGGTCAGGCTAAAGACCAGGGAGCTGTAGTTGACATCAGTTTGACAGGCAAAACCTCTCCCAGCAGGGAGACACCAGCAGGCAGGGACCACATCCAGGACCACGTGGCCTGAGGGCTGGTTGGCTTGATACCCATTCGCTTTGCGGTTTAGTGTAGAAAATAAGGAAAGGAGAGGCGAGAAGTTGACAAAAGCCACCCTGCTCCCCTTGGAGTCCATGGGGAGGACATTTTTTTTTCATCCTGTAGCTGCAGTGGCAAGCAGAGAAGATTCTAGAAGTCCTGTCACCCCAACCCCTCACAAACATCAGGCCTTGACTTGTTTGGGAAATGTTTAAGATTTGTATAGTTCAGGTACACTTTGTAAACATTATTAAGCATTTTACTCTCCAAATGAAGGCCTCAATTGCATCAAGTTCTCTTGGTATGACTCTGGGCAAAGGGATCGAGCCTTCCCCTAATTCCAAGGAAGCTGTCCATAGGCCTTAGACCATTACAGTGTCGCTCTCTGAAGGCAAGCTGTGTCAGCAAGTGATTTTCATTGCCACAACCGGACACCCATTGTACACAACGTCACCTCACATACCAAACCATTGGAATGAACCAGCTCATACGGATGTTGACAGAGGTGGAGTAAGTTCCTTCCCTCTGTCAATATGAAATACCTCCCAGGAGATGCATGAGCATGTGCCTTGTCTGACAAAGAACATGACAATGTCTCTTTGCATGTAGACTGGCTCTTATATAACCATACTGACTTATTTCTTATTGCTCTCATTGTTTAGCTCCCCTGATCCAACTGCTTGCCAAGATGGGAAGGAAACTGGATCTTTCCAAGCTAACGGATGAAGAGGCCAAGCACGTTTGGGAGGTGGTTCAACGGGACTTTGATCTGCGGAAGAAAGAGGAAGAGAGATTGGAGTGAGTACATGCTTTAAGCACACTTCAAGGCTTTGATGACTCACAGAAGGAAATAGCCGGCTCAGATCCCTGAGGTCTCTTTTAACATGAGAACAGACAAAGCCAACAGTTTGAAAATCTGGGCAAGAAAAAATAGTTTGGGCAAAGCCAATAGGAGAAAGGAGCAGCCCATTTCATTAACCTAGTAGTCCACTGCATTTGGTTATAGTCTGAAGGGGAGGCTCCAGCTATTCAGCTAGTGCAAATCAACATAGCTCCATCAGGATCAATCACTGATTTTAAATCAGTGGAGCTACACCAATTTTTGCCAGCTAAGTATCTGACCTGAAGTCCAGTACACTCACCCCAGAAATGTCATGGGCCAAAGTCTGGTTTCAAAGAGGCCCGGCTTTCAGTGTCTGGAACAAAGTACGGAATTTGGCTCCATTGCTGCCAATAAAACTTAACAACGGCAGAGTAAATTCAAATACCTGTGTGGTTCTCGTGTGTGGGCAGTTTGCAAAAGAGCTGGCTAAAAAATAGGTCAACATTTATAACATTTTGATCTCTTCTTCATTAAAATTGGAACTTTGGCACCTAAATTGGATGAAATTTCTAATCTGAGATTTTGCCCAGCTGTGTTCTATAGTATGTATTATTCCTCTCAATCCTGAAAAATGTATGGTGGGAAAGTTCACTGGACTAGCTTTGAACAGCAGAAATGTCCAGTTCTGGTTTGAACAGAGGGGTGACAAAATACTTAGTTTTATGTGAACTAGTTATTTCATCCTCTGTGTGATGCTGAACTTCTGCTGACCTTGTTGGCACTGAACTGGTGAGCCAGCAGAGGAGATTGAAACTGACAAATCGCTATCCTCTGACGTGCTCTGGGGGTAGGAAGCTCATTGATTTCGGTCCTTTGGCTCAAAAGAATGGAATAACGAGTGACCGTCTCATGCCTATATGCACATAGTATATGCATGAGCCACCCTGGTTTGTATGTGGTGGATGTCCCAGCAAAAAACCTGGGACCAAATGCAGTCTTTGTGTAATTAAATACATCTGTGGTGGCTTTAAAAAGGAGTTGTATTGACTTAAGCTGAATTTGGTCCTTTGTGGCAACCTGCTGGGGTTTGTAGTTTCTCTTTGACAAAGGGGATGTTTTAAAACAGAAAAAATAATAATCCCTAACAGTAAATGGAGTCTCCAGAACCAGCCATCAGAGCATCTTACCCATGGCCACTGCAGGGTCCCCACTACCAGCAGCTTCCTCTGGACAGAGTCTAGTCTCAGAATAGACTTCAGAGCACCTGCGCTCTTGCAGATCAGGAAGTAAAGTCCAGTGTTTCAGGCACTAGCCTAGGACTTTAGAGACCTGAGTTCAGTTCCCGGCGCTGGCACGGACTTCTTGTATGCCCACGGGCAAGTCTCTGTCTCTGTGCCTCTCTTTCCCGCCTGTACAGTGGGGATAATTGCACTGCCTGGTCTCTCAGGAGTGTTGGGAGGGTAAATGCACTAAAGATATTGACAGGTTTCAGAGTAGCAGCCGTGTTAGTCTGTATCCGCAAAAAGAAGAACAGGAGTACTTGTGGCACCTTAGAGACTAACAAATTTATTAGAGCATAAGCTTTCGCGGACTACAGCCCACTTCTTCGGATGCATATAGAATGGAACATATATTGAGGAGATATATATACACACATACAGAGAGATATTGATGCACCAAGAGCAGACCCCCTTCTAACCCAATGCACCAACAGCAGTAAATAGTGAATGGGCGGGACCAATGCGCCCCACACACACCTGAAATGAGCTCAGATTCACAAAACGTGTGGAGTTTGAATAGGGAAATGCTATGTGCGTGGGAGGCAGAGATTGTTACTCTGAATGATTATTATTTTTTTTCCCCTACAAGATCCTCTATGCGTTACGTGGTCCCAAAGCCTGTGCCATGTTAATCATGCAGCTTGGCAAGCGACGACAAGGGCATTAAAGTAACATAGTTACCTGGAAAGAGACAGGAAAGACTAATTCCATCCTGGGGAGGGAATTGTTTATACTGTACACTGAGGTAAGAGAGCAGAGCAGCTCCACCATGAATCATAACTGTGGGTGACTTCCTGGAGATTCCATTTGCATTGACTCCTTTATAGTGTCTAGAACCATAAAACATGTTCCTGTGCCCACGGTGAGCTGACTTCCCGGCAGTTCAGGAGGGCCAGGGAGGAGTGAATTTATAGTGCTCATGGCAACCGGGAACAACTAACACCTGCTAGACGCTGACATACCTTCAAGTTTCCCCGCAGCTCTGCCAACGGGTCTCCCTCCGGACCGACAAACTCCCCGTGAGCCTCTCCTGAGCAGAAATGGCCAATTACGCTGCTGGACAAACTTGATCCTGCTATGCCAGGCCCTTTAAATAGTCCCTTTAAATGCTTCGAGTCGGTGAGTTTGATTCAGTGTGGCAGGGAGCAGCGTTTTTTTTTCTTTCTGGTCACTGGTCCTGAAAACATTTTTGTACCAATTCACCAGCTAAACAAAAGTCTCTCCCATGTGATTTCAAAAGAAGCTACCTTGCCAAATGCTAAGGCTAGACAGGAATGTTTTAGATCATTTGATGGCTGGGAGCACGAGCTTGCAGGGCCTAGAAACCAACTGGTTTCTATCACTAACATTGTGGGGTTTTTTGTTTTTGTTTTTTTTTTTAATCAGTTCCTCCTTTTTTACCCTGTTCCACAATGTAAGACCTACAAGGGTCAGCCAATGCAATGAACCCTTTATGCTGCCTGGTCACCAGGGGGGTGAGACCAGGAGATTGAATGTGTTTTGAGCGCTGGCAGGTAGGGACAAGCCACCTGCCGGGGCTACAAATGAATGCTTTATACTCAAGCACACCGCTCCTTTCTGCCTCTGGTTTAAGGTTGGGCCTTACAGTGAAGCTCTTACCATTACCATCTTTCTTTGCTTCACATTGATTCCATCCTGGCTCACACAAACAAGCTAATTTGTCCTCCATAGTCAGCACTGAGTTGCTGGAGACTTGTCTACGTGTGGTCCCTACAAAATTGCCCGGCCTGCCTGTGGTTGTTCATAGTTGTGGACCAGGCCCCACTGATGTAGAAGGTACCAGGCAATCCTGCAGAATGGGCATTTGAGGGGGTGTATAAACGCTACCCTGCCACAGCCACGAAGGGGTTAAGACACAGTAGCTACCTCCTCAGCTGTGGCTGATTGGCAGACCAGCACTCGCTGGGTTAAGAGCCTGCAGACCAGAAGGGGGGGCCAGGGAATCTGGGCGGGGGGGCTTTGCATCAAACGCAAGGAAGCAGCTGGAACCCCCAGAGACGAAGCTCTGAAATAAGTCACTCTGCAAAAGCAGCTGG